TTATGTAGCTCAGCTTCCCAGGAAACTGTATTTGAGACTTTGTTCAGTGGAACCTGTCATCTCCCACAGAGTTTTTGTGCATTTCACTGTATTTTGCACCAATATGAATAATTAGGCATCGCCCCCGCACCTACCTCCCCACTGCAAAAATGTAAATATATGTTAAGAACTGGTAACCAAACAAGACCCTCATACAATATCAGCACCTGCTGAAATAACATCAACCTCAAATTAATCCGCTATTATAATCAAGCTGCATTTGTTCTATAACACAATATGGTTATTACAATTCTAGCTAAATTGAAGTTAATACCAATTTTCCCATTAATAGCATGGGTCTTGCAAAGTTTAAAAGATATGAGGATAGCTGCATACCTGTGGGTTCAGCTACTCCTGCTCACAAATCCAAAGATGGGAGAAAAGATCTGGGGGAGGGAATGGACTACACCACTCCCAGATACCCCCAGTGAGCATGACCAGTGTAATCTAGGAAATGTAGTTCAAATAAAGTAGTTTTTCACCATCTCTGGACAAATTACTTTGTCAGGCCTTAACAGTGCTTTCCCCCCAAGGTTCTTCATTAGAAAATAGAAAAGCCTATACATGTGGCATCATATGTGCAAGACACTCCAGACGTTTAAATGAAAGTATGTTAATTGAGGATGATATTTGCCACCAGAGACTACATGTGTTCTGAAACCAGAGGTAATGAAATCTAAAAAAGGATAAGGACAAATAAGTGATGGCTACTGCTGGATAGCTCAGTGGTTTAGGCATACTGTATGTCTGTGGGGCCAGAGGTTGGAAGTTCAGTTCCCCACTGTGCCTCTCTCACAGAGGCTGGATTTGATGATCCAGAGGGTCCCTTCTAGCTGTGCAGTTCCTAGATGATGAAGATTACTATCTTGGCTGGCATTTTGAATACCAGATGTTAGGAAACATAAGCATGATGTGTATTATTGCACAGTTGTTTTGCTGTGGACTTCTCACAGGCATCTTCTTGCCTGCTGAGGAAACAGAATGGCAGGCTAGAAAGACCTTTGGTCTGATCCAAGCCAGTTCTTCTTAACATCTTAAAATGTGAGGAAGAGGACGATGTGTTACAAGCATTCTCCATGATGTCAGGAGCACTTGCCCATAGGTTTCTCTGACATACTGCAATGGCAAGTCCTTAGTACAATTAGAATCACAGGGGATACTCTAGTGGTATGAAAAGGCAGGAGGACATGTTGTTAAGATATGTGGCATTACGGAACTGGAGCTCTTTCAGTTGGAGGCGACCTCTTGTAAGATCAGAGGAAGCACTATTTTAGGCCCAGCTAACTATTCCCACTGAGTCAGCCGGGTGCCTATGAGAAGTCTGCAAACAGAACATGAGTGCAATAGTGCTCTCCTACTAATCCTCCCAAGCATCTGATATAGAGACTCAAGCATATAGGTTCTTGCTCTTCCCCATCTTAGCTTTGCATACCTGCTTGCATGGGAAATTAACGTGATGGTCCTATAGTCACTATGGTCTTTAATGTCTCCTTTCTCAGAGACTGTACGATATACACAATTTTTCTAGATTATGGAAACTTCTCTTTTTGTATCTGTCAGTATATTCTTGTCTCTTTAACCTTTAGTCAGACTAGATCCCATTGAATCAACTACTCAATGGTAAAGCAACATTTTCACTGAGTCAATCAACCTACTCTGGTTGGGACTAGGAACAGAATACTGACCACTTATATTTGAGTACATATACAAAAGATTATGATTAGTTCCTAGTCACACTAGCATCTTATCCAATGCTATTCCCCCCAAAAAAGCAATATATTTACATCAGCTTTACCAAGCAGTCTGACCAAGAATTATTAAAGTAGATTCCAGAAGAACATTTTGTCTGCCTTTAAGGAGAAAGGTGAAGTAAAAATATTTTAAATTAATCAATTTTAAAAAATAAATTAACACAATTGTCAGTCATTGGAGATGAATAAATGTATTTTTCAGCCTTAGACAATAAATATTTTAAAGCGAAATTCTACCTAGGATTCTATGCTAGAATTCTATCTCAGATAGAATTCAAGTACAGTCATACTTTGTATTGTTCATAATTGTACCCTAAAATTAGAAGTCAGTATTTAAAATGAGCAAGCTGTTTGGGCTACCGATCTTCCATTTTCATCCCACAAAAGCTGAGGTAGCTTTCATCAGAATTTCAGTGAAATAATTAAGTAAAACTGATTCAGGGATTGCAACTTAAGCTCTTCTTGATGCGCATTCTAAAGCAGCTTAGACACCATAGAACATATAATCATTATGAATGAAGCTTTCTTTTAATCAGAAACAGAAGTTGATTGGCCTTGCTACAACCATTCAAGGAGTAAGTACACTTTTCCCCTCAAGATCACAATCAGATGAGATAGAAAAGGAGGCTTAGCAGGAGGAAGGCCCATAAGAATTTTCCAATTGGTAACTTTTAGGTATCTATGGCTTATTTAGACTACCACATTTTTTTCCCTCGTGACCAGTATTCCATGAGAGATTTCATGAATATAGTTTCATGAAGACTGATTATTTTTGTTCACTCTTCACTCTAGTTGCTTCTTCAACATATTCGTTGCTGCGCTACCATATTACGAAAGCCATATTTAGAAGTCAGGAAATATATGTATTTCGCTACCACAGTCTATTTAAAAAAACCACACAGTCATGAATGAGATATGCAGTACTTAGCACCCCCCGAGTCCCATTTGGCATGCAAGGAACCCCTTGCCATTTTGTAGGTTAAATGGCATAAGAGCAAATCTTATCAACACAAGAGCAAAATTTTCAGAGCTGGATTTACAGTCATTCCAATTTTATGGCTCTATGCTATGCCTGTGGATATAACTGAATTCCCTTCCATTTAATAGCCTTCTCTACAAGCTTGTAGAGCGCTAAATCTCTACAAGACAGTGCCTTGGCTTCGTGGTCAAAGGGCACATGCCCACTTCTACAGATTTAGCTCCCATTTCTTTTGAGTTCAGTTTACACAAAAACAGGAGTGAAGATTTTGCTTCTCATTTGAATTTAGTTTCATTTTTCCAGTGTTTGCCTGAGTTCCCTCTAACTCTTTTGATACTTGGTATTCACTGTCTAACTTGACTGACACAAGCAGCCCACTGTAGGAGGAGACGCTTCCTGTGTGAACTTTGTCTGGTTTCCATGGAGCAAACTTTTCCCCCTTTAATTCTCTTTCTCAGAGCCGACACACATGTGCACTGTTTGGGGTATCTTGCTGCCAAGTGAGGCTGATGCCAGGGTTGGTCAACGTGAGGTAAGGAAATCGCGGCACATCATCATTCCCAGCCAAATGTAACAACAAGAGGGCTTTGCAATTTACAATCTGTGTGTTATAGCTCCAGCTGTTTGACTCTTAATGAAGGAACATTATTTTCTGGCTTATGCGGGTTATGGAGACATTTTTTTGGATTTTATGTCTCATCGTGTAAGGAAAAGAACCACCATGCTAACATGGAATTCTCCATCAGCTAGGACAGAGGATTCCATCTCAATATTTTCAATACCAGAGCTTTTATTCAAGACGGGGACTTCTTGATTGTTTCTCATTTGAACACTCCAAAGAAATGAATGGGAATATTATTGTGGCCCATTCAAAAGTAGTGCTTTTAAACAGATTGCGGCCATTCTTAACTCTAAGCTAATAAAACTGTCCCCAGAGACACAAGGGAACTTTTTAAGCTATTTTCTTCCTCCAAAAGTTTTTTTTTTATGGAGGGCTGGGGCTTCCGCAGCTGTGGGGAGCACATGTGCCCAATTCTTGTTCTATACCATATGTGGCCCATCGTCCAAACGGGGGTGGGAGAAGCATTCCCCCCCTTTGACCAACCCTTAACTTTCTGGATAAATAGGTACCACCAGTAGACAAGTAAGTGGCATTCACACACTGACTTATCCTGCAACACAGAGAGAGAGAGAGAGAGAGATACAGAGAGAGTCAGAGAGAGAGGTCCAGGAGTTCTCAACATTGAACACAAGTCAAAACGTTCAGCTTGCTACATCATCCAAGTGTGTTCAGCCACCAAACATACTCTGACCTCAAAAAATCTTCGAAAGCAAAATCCACTCTCACTTCCCGACAAATGACAAATACAAGCGAATAGGAAATCCACGCACGGCGATGTGCAAACTCAAAACACCCTGGAAAGGGAAAGAGGCCGTCTGGGCAAAACCGTCACATCTTTCAGGTCTGGGTGAGAAGTACCAAACTGATCTTTAATAAACAACAACCTTACACACACACACCCTCAAAAAACTCCACCGCCGCCTGTGCGCACCCGGGAGCGAAACTTCCTTCGGCTCCTTCTGCCTGCCAAGTCTTTCTCCGCGATAGCTGCCGAGCAAGCGCGAGGGAGGGGAGGAAAGCAGGCTCGCCTCCACCGACCCGGGAAGCGACCCCACACGTGAAACCACCGGCTCGGGCATGGGGACCTCCCCGTGACAGCCCCGGCCGGGCCCAACGGGCTGCCGGCGTCTGAGCCGAGCGCCCAAGCGGCAGCCTCCCGACCCTCGGACGTGCCCGGCCGGGCA